ACGAACAAAAGTATTGGCATAGATAATATTTTGGAATGTATGCAAAGTTTTTTATTTTAATTTTTATTCGCAAATTGTTTATAAAAATATGTAGTTCATATTACAACAAAAAACACAAAAATAAAATCTCTAAACTTTGTACAAGACTCAGGAAAATTCAATTAACTTGCATACTAATTTGCGGCTTTAGAAACTAAAAAAAAAATCTAAGTATGCAGTTTTATAGCCCATTAAATTTTAATTTAACAAAGTGTAAGTTTGAAGTTGTTAAAAAATCGTGTTGATTTTTGGCAATTTTTTTAATTTTTTGTTGTATGGAAGAAAATAATAAGCCGGAAAATTTTATTACCAAAAAATGTCAACAGTTCTTGTCACCGCAATTTTAAGTACGTTGGTAATGCAGTTAAAATATTCAGCGCTCTTGTAACCCGGTAAATTTTTTTATCATCTCATAAGCTGGTAACAAAATATTGCCCCGTGAAATATGCAATGCCAAAATTTCCACAAATGTTCATAGCTGAATATATTGTAACGGCATTACCAACGTACCTACCTAGAATTGCGGTGACAAGAAGTGGTAACGTTTTTTGGTAATACAATTTTTCGGTTAGAAAGTTCAACTTTATTGAATTTTTCCGAGTTTTGCACAAAGTTTATAGATTTTGTTTTTATGTTTTTTGTCGTAGTATGAAGTATTATTATATAAAAAATTCAGGAAAAGGAATTATAATAAAAAAACTTTGCATAGATTGCGATAAATTCTGTGTGCCAGTACTTTTGTTCGTCACTGTACATATACTTATGTATGTATGTAAGTAAATGTAGGCACATACATATGTATTTACGTAAACAGATAGTTCGTACATTTAATGCATATGTACCTACACACTTACTGGCGCACATACTAAATATGTGGCAATCGCTATTTAACCGTAATAGCAACATCAATATATGTACATACGTATGAAATTCCACTGAAGCGATTTTATTTGTTTTCGTATTTGAAATTTAGACTTTTTATTCAATATCTTGATTTGATTTGTAAATTTGCTTAGTAAGTACAAATGGATTGCTAAAAAGTTTTGCACTCAAAATTATTTGCTTAAGAGTTTTCATTTGATTTTGTTTATACAACTTTTGAAAAATTATTGTATACCTAGAACCTCAAATATAATTTCTACCATTGCCAAACAGCCAGACAACGAGTCAGCCAACTAATCACCACACGTCGACCAATAGACCGACCCAAAAACGAGGGCAGCAAACAACCTATCAAGTTAACCGTTTTTGAATACGTTGTATGAATCATTCATGTTTGCTTGTTTGCTTGCCTGCCCTAAACGCACCGTACGACCTGCCCTCTTTCCTTCTGCCACTTGATGGCCTAACCGAATTTTTACAATTTCACAAGCATCTAATTTTTGAGCTCACTTTTTTTTTGCAATCATCGTGCCCGCATACAATTTTATGCATTGATTTAGTACTAAACATACCTTGATATTAATAAACTCTTTTACGCTTCACAAAAAATTTTCCACTATACTGGTTAAATTGGTAGTGTTATAAAATGCATTAAAAACCAAAAGAAAAAACAACGACCGAGAGATGCACTACCTCGGTTTTGTGTAAAAAAAAAAAATATTTTTTCCACAGTATCTGCAAGATGCAAGATACTACTCGCACGAATCGTCACACACCAACAATAAAACTGTCTAATTGGAGCCAGCATTCAACTACTGCTGTCAAACTGACAGTGCTGCCAACTGCTGATTGTTTGGATTTCAATGGCGTATGATTTGACAAATGCTTATAGCGGATATGAAAAGAAGAAGGAAAAGAAAAATATTTCAGGAAATTAAATTATGTCCATTCAATATCAAAAATTGCTACGAACTGTTGCTAGTACTACTTGCAAGTTTCAAATTCAAATGTAAACAAAGTGTTTAAGAGGATGATCTGAGCCCTGTTCCAGGTACTTCACGATTTGTTTTACAGGATTTACGGGCAAAGCTGTTTTCGCCATTAATAAACCTTGTGGAATGTGGGCATCGGGAACGACTTCCTGTAAAAACCTGTAAATCGTGAAGCACCTGAAACAGACTTTTGATGAAAAAAATAGTGAAAGGAAATTTGGATGAACAATTTAAATCTAAGGTATATTTTTGGATTGTTATGGCAATGGAAAATATTCCCAATCAAAATGGCGTCAGTTGCAAGTTTTTACTAGTTTTGCATTCAATAACATTTTCTGAAGATTTTCTCTTCCTCTCACTTCTACACTCTATTTTTCTTGTACGCTATGAAGAACTACTGGTTTTATAAAGGTTTTATAAGGCTCTAGTCGTAGACTGTGCTCTTATGAGGGTTTTGTAAGGCTCTGTATGGAAACATATTTTTAACCGACTTCAAAAAAAAGAGAAGGTTATCAGTGTGTCGGAAATTTTTTTTTATGTATATACGTTAACCGATTTCTACAATTCTTTATTCATCGGAAAGGTGGAACCTCAAGGGTGGTTCCATACTAATTTTGTTTAGATCCGATAATTGGATCATGAAGAAATTAACGACAATCTTAACTTTTTATATGAGAATTGAAGTTGGTTTTGTCTTTTGCTTAAAATAAATTGGTTCATTTAGAGCGATAAATACTTTTTTTTGGTTAATCAATATTTTGTTGTTCCATCATACCATTTCGTATTTCGTTAGATATGAAAAAATCTTTGTTTTCGAACTTATGTACACTGCCGGAACAAAGTATTGGCACAGCAAATTGTTCACAATATACATAAGCAACAATTTCTGATCTAATATATTTCCGCCAGTTTTGTATAAAAATATGGTTTATGCTACAACAAAACACATAAAAATATAATTCCTACCCTTTGTGCAAAACTCGCGAAAATTCAGCAAGTTTTCATGCAAATTTTCAACTTTTTAATCAGATTTTCAGAATTTTTTTTTGAGTATTCAGATTTGTAGCCCAATCAATTTTATTATAATAAAGTACAAGTTGTAAGTAGCTAGGAATTTGCGTTGATTTTTGGGATTTTTCTTCACGCAGTCTCTTCCATACAAACAATTTTTTTTCGAAAATACTTTATATGGAAAAAGGCAAAACACTTTCAGCAAAAAAAAATTCTCAAAAATCAATGCGATTTTTGACTAACTCCGAACTTGAAGTAACCTTTAACTTTAAAGATCACTTTATATTTAAAGGTTGGATTAAAAGTAAAGCTATATCTAAAGTTAAGCATTTCTATTATCGGTTTATGACATATGTATGTTCCTTGGTTGTAAACCAATTTAAACCGATAATAAAATGCTTTACTTTAGACACAATCATAAATTTTAATGAGCTTTAAAGTTACAGGTTACTTGAGAAAACGGCCCTAAGAAAAAATATGTGTAAAATATTAAGATCGCAAAACAAGTTCGTTAAATATTGATTGATATTTCCAATTACTTAACCCACCAGCGTAAAAGTGACAACTAAAAACTAAAAGCTTATTTGATCCACTTTGCTGCTATAATACTATTCTATCGATTGGTTTGCCCCAGGGGTATAATTCCTTTAACCTTAAATCACTTCAACTATTTTATTTTTAGCCTTAAATCTTTTTTCAACCCGGTATAACGTGAGTGTTTCGCTTTGTGGTAATCGTGGTTTTCGGACACTTATCCTGCAACAATAATCATAATTTAAATGTGCAATATTAAGGAAAAGAAGTTTAAGTCCTTCGTCTGCAATTGATGGCGATTAAACACCGATTATTCGATTCCTGTGTGGCTATTCTGTATCAAGTTAGCGACAATTATCGTATCACTATCTCAACCTTGCGACATTCATAACATACATTGTACTTTAAACGACGATATGTATGTATGCTATCTAAAAAAGACATCCGACACATCAAGAAAATATATACATATAAACATAATATTTTACACACCCTTCACAATCAGGCAGGTTCTGCAATTCACTTCGGAGTGAATTTCAACCCCATTCAATTTGAATTCAAAGTGGCCTGAATATGAACAATCTCATCCCGCTGAAATAGGAAGTTGTCCGAATCTACCCGCTTTCCTATGGTTAATTCCCTTGAACGACTAGAAGAGAATCAATCGGATCTACTTCAAACTTATAACAAATTCATACATATATTAACTAACAAATACATATTTCTATTTACTTCGCAGTTTACTTTATTTCGCACTAACATAGTATGATGTATGTATATTCTTAACATTTCTATGAATTTATGTTTACTATGTTTATGTATTTTAAAGTCGTAGTTAAAAAATAAAGTATTCAAAAATAATTTTTTACACATTTGTATCTCATCTGTAATATACATGTACAAACTTTGTTTGCCTTCGATTTGAATTTAAAAATAATTGCACGAAGTATTAAAAAACGAAACTTTGGTTGAAAATCAGCAACTGAAATCGCATGTGACATAAATATCTTCAGTACAGCCTATAAGAATAGTTTCATTTTCGAAAGCAAAACCTTAATTTCGTGCTTAGCTTTAGCATATATGTATATTTTTTAACCTTTTTTTTTTGTTCTTTAAGATTCCTCTATAATTCCTTTAGTTTTCTTTCTGTTTTTATTGCAATTAAGCTAAAGAGTTATATATTTTACTTTATATATTATTCAGATTTTTTTCTAATGCTGTGTACGAATATTATTTTTACTATTGTATCTAGGCATATATGTATGTAGCAGTAAAATAGTAGCAATTCTCTGGCTTTTACAAAATGCAACTGCAGTAAAAATACAATACATTGAAGGTGAAAATAGAAAATTTTTTAAGTGCGTTTTCGGGTTTGTTTTTGAATTTAAAGTCAGGATAAAAAGCTTAGAAAACTGAATTCCAGAAACCAAGTTGCGAAGTAGATATGTATCTAATTATATATATTAAAAGTTTAACGAATATAGACATTTTGTCGCATTTTCGATCGCTTTGTATTGCAATGATTTTTCGCTTGATGTTAACTTGTTTTGTTGCGTGTGTATGTTTATTGATGCCGAACCACTATAAATAACACTACTTCATTTGAATTGTGCTGGCTGATGATTGGTTTCTTATCGAAGTAGTAAATAGTGTGTACAGTATCTTCAAGGTCGTCATTAATGCGTTTTTTTGTTTTTTAATGGTGGTGGCCGTTTTATGATGGTATGCCGAGTGTTTTACGCACTAAACGTTTGGCGATATCATTGAATTCTTCGCGTCGTTCACGCCACATAATTGCCGCATCAACGTTAGCTCCCGATTCGGCATTTGGCTCTGTAAAGGAAAAAGGTGCACAGTTTAATTTTATTCCTTAAGCTTTTAAATTATAAATAAATTAAATTGCAATGCAGCAATTCCTCTGACTTTTTTGTTTTCTTAGAATTATTTGTAAAGGTACGCCGCTTTTATGGGACCATCTTTCCCCTGTGGCTCACATACAAATTTTTACAAAGTGTTTAACAACGCATATAATTAATTTGAATTGCTAAATGATGAACTTGACATTTTGTAATAACAATGTATCGCTATGAATCAAATGACGAACGCAATTGCATACTTAAAAATAGAAAAAAAAAAAAAAATTGCATGCATTTATATTTACATAAAACGCAAACGAGCCTTATATACTAGCTATTGCAGTTGTTTGTTTTGAATTTAATATCTACTTCACTCACCAGCCAACATTGAAACTACACTAAGCAGAATCTTTTCCACGCTTTGCACAGGACTCCAACGCTCAGCAGATAATTCGTAGCCCATGGGATCATCGCCAGGCGCATGCAATATTGATATGCAAACTCGTCCGTCAGCAAAAACTATAAAAAATGGGTTTTATTTATATATTTCGTATCCGCTATATGCAATACCAATATCACGTATGACGTGGCATAAAAAAAAATAGTTTTGGTTATCCTGTCCAACAGGTGCTTACTCCGTAAATTTAATGGTGAGGAATTATAGTAGAAGCAGCTATTTAGTAAGTTCGGCTAGAAATCCTTTCAAAAGTTTTTATGAAAGTAAGTTTTTTTGCTACTTTCTGAAAATTTCCGGCCTGCGTCATATGGCGGATACGAGGTATTGCGCGCCGAGCGGCGATATGTACATATACATATCGCTACCTTAATAAAAAAGGCATAGGGCCTCAGATTGTCGCTGAAAGACTAAAAAGCCGTAACTAAAATATTGTATTATATAAAATGATGCGAGTACTTATAATTCGATGAAATGCATCGTTATTAATCAAAAAATGAATTTAGGACTATTTGTTAGTTACGCCTTTTTGTATTTCACCGACGATGTGAGATAAGGCCTTTCTATATTAAGGTAACGATACGTATGCCTCAGTACAAATTTTCAAAATAACTATTAGAAGACGCTATTATAACTGCGGTCTTTTTAGTTTCCGGTATGGCAGAACCGATTCTATTCGAAAATATTAAGATTTAAAGCACTTACTATTGGGGTGAAACATGTCACAGGTAAATTTCATTTTCGGTGGGCTCAGCGGATAGTCAGGCGGGAATATGAGACGAGCTGGAAAAACGCCACCTTCAAAACATGTTCCCTCTGGCCCGCTGTAATTGATAAAGGAAGGAAATATTAAAGTAATGCAAAAATAGAAAAATCCAAGGCACTGCCGGGTAGGTAGGCCAACTGAAATCAAAGCATACACAATTATGTATGTATTTGCGTTAAGTTGTTTCGTTTCGAATAAAATTAGATATGAAATTCACAACTTACGCTATCAGCGCTTCCCATTCGAAAAAGTTGTCCTCACTTACAGGTCCAGCCACTATGCCCTCTGGCGGGTCCAGAGTCAACTCTGCAAAAAGATAAGCAAATTGCGCATAAAGTTAATCACTCCGATGAATTTTTTTTATCAGGCATATTATGCGGCTGGGTGGCAGCAGCTTGGAAATTACCAGCTGCTAAGTCCCTATTTGCCAGCTGGCTGAAGAATGTCCCCACTTACGTTTGTATTCCGCCATAAGCCTTCTGAGCGCAGACCCGGCCATTTGTCAACTATTTTTTTTTGCTTTGGCAGCAATAGCAACAGTCACGCACGATCTCGGAGGATTACTCGGCCCCAAATCAGTCTTTTGCTGTTCCCGTCGGGTTTGGCGAGGGCGTAGACTATTATCGACACACTTTTTTAATTGGAATTTTGTGTGTTTTCTGGGATTTCAATCGAATAAAATAAAACTATTGCCACACATTTAATTTTTTTTTTTGTTTCGTGACTTTCTACAAAGATTTTCGGAGCTCTTTTGCTGTCTTTTGTTGTTTGTCCGCCTGGCTCACGCAGGGTAAATGCCAGATTGGCTAGAATTTTTGCTAAAGTCAAAAAATTTACACACAAAATGACACTGGAAATTTGTTGTAAATTAGTTTAGAGCTTAAATATGTATATATTCTTTTACTCCTAAAAAGAGCTGCTAAGAAAAATCAATACCTCCACTAAAATAAATACACCATGTGTAGAAAAACTAAGAGATATAAGATACATAAATGTTTTAATTTTTTTCCAGTACAGCAACGCCAAGAAGCATTATTACGAATGCGCGTGTAAACAGCACCAAAGAAAACTGACATGCAGCGGATGTCAACGTAAAATAAACGTCATAAAAATTTACCTCCAAAGTGGTTATGGACTTTACTAAATTGACAAGTAACGGGAATAATGGCGGGAATACTCCGTTTCCGTCGTGTCGCACATCTTGTGAGTTTTCCGGTTTCCGTGTCTATTGTAAATTTCTTAAAACTGCATCCGAAATATGCAAAAAAGGCTTCAGAAATGCAGGCCAGGTGTTAGTGCGTGTTTCCAAAGTTTGTGAAAAGTGTTTTGAAATTCGAGAGAAGGGCTAAAGTGTTGTTAAAAGTGCAGTGAAGCATTAAATGCAAATGTGGAATTTTTTTTAGCCGATCTGGTTTTAAGATGCGTTTCACAATGTTTGCAAGTTTAAAATGCCGTAAAAAGTTAATAGAAAGCTCAAAATATCAGTGTTTGTGTGTGTAAATGTAATTTGTTGAATATTGGAACCTTCAGTTTTTGTGGGCAATTATCGGTAAGTGATAGCACATCAGTGAAATGAGATGATTTAAGGCCACCCAATTTGATGTTAGTTTTACTGCAACTGTCAACCTTTCTGCCGAGTTTTTATGTATGTACATATATGTAGGTACACTGTATCCATGCTGTGAATTCGTGCAGCAGCAGAGATGCCGTAATGCAGGCATGCCCAACGCCGGCAGAACTCCATAAGCAAGTGCCCCGCGCTGGCAGAATTCTATAGGCAAGTGCCCTGCGCTGGCCATGCCTGCCGTAATGCGTACATTGGCATATTGTTGTTGTTGTTGTTGTTGTTGTTGTTGTTGTTGTTGTTGTTGTAGCGGCTACAACAACCCCGCCCAGATCGGTTAATATCTCAGTCGTTGTCGTCAAGCTCCACTCACGGAAGCCCCAGGAAGGATGCAGCCTCAATGGGGTCTGCCCACAGGTCTGAAATGTTGTTGTTGTTGGTGTAGCGGCTACAGGTCTGTCATCTATGAGCCCGCTTAATAACAAACAAGCAGAATAACTTCAACTGAAGACGCTCTCAGTTTTTGCATTTCAATTTTAAATGATTTTTAAACTAATTTTTTTGGATAGAAACGCATTCATTCATATATATGTATGTACATATGTACTATGATTACACATAGAAATGCATTTTTGATTCTACCCGGCTCGATTTTTTTTTATTAAATAACATCAATAGAAGCTGATATTGCCAAATAGAAATTTATCTGTATGCTTGCTTCCGCTGCCCACACCTACGGGTAAGCACATAAATCCATACATCCTACTATGTATGTATAATTTCACCATGATAGGGGCATATGTGCAATAATTAACTTCACGCCCACCCTCCCCTTTCATATCAGCCGCTTATGACATAAAATGCGAATATAAACGATAAATTAATGCAATCATTGGATTTACGAAACCAAACGAAAAAACCGATACAAACAAAATACATGACAATAAATGTAATAAAAGCCACAGTGGTTGCAGATTTACCCGAATTGCAGGAATTGGATGGGCAGACTGGCTGGACAACTGTTGGGTATGTAATATATTGAAGAGATTTCGCGACAGCTGCTGCAATTGTTCACTTCACCGCTCCTGCCACAATGACCGCCACGAAACCATTGTTTGTACGGCAATTGTTGTGGTCGCTATGGAAATTATGAACAAATAAAAGGATTTATTTCATTGCCGTTATGCAATCGAGGGAGTTGGGCAGCACAAATGCATGCAAGTGCTTATAACAGCAAAAAAGCAAAAAAAAAAACTGGCAATGCACTTACGAACCCACACACATTTGTAAGTGAATTAAATGCATCACTGCGTGCGTTCGTCGGCACCGGATGTAGCGGATGTGTTTTACACCACAGCAGGTCGTGCAGGTGCTCCAGCGGCCGACATGCCTGATAAGAGTTTGTCGGTTTATCGATATGATTGGCCGCTTTGCTAGCCTTTTTGCCAATTTACCAAAACAATTGCAACTGAGTTTTATTAAATTAAAAATTGCTAGAAAAATTTTCCCAAAATTGCGAAATTTCAGATTGCGTTGCGTTATTTCGGCTACCCGTGCGCGGAATGATGCAGCTTGTAGTTGGTGGCCGGCAACAATAATCTGCTTCCCTTCCTTTGCGCTGAAAATGTTTGCGATAAATGCGCACATATTTGAATTATTTTCAATTTCATAAATATTTTCGATAGCAGCAAATGTTCATCCCATTTTCGCATAGCCTAGGGGCGTTAATTATAAAATGCTATGAAATGTAACATGTAGGTGCATGTATGTACGCAGGCGTTTAGGTACATCGTTATGTGCTTAGGTACATCTTTTGGAGTAAAATTACGAATTTTCATCGGTGCACTGGGAATTAGCTCCATTCGGTTTATCGTGATTACGCTTGAAATTCTATGTTTTTGGAGAACAGTTAAATTGTTTGAGATAAGCCCGTTAATAGTTTAAATTACAGCAACGGAAATGAACAAATATGCTGCTACAACAATAACAACAAATATGATAAACTTCGTATTTAATTTCGTTACTGAAATTGCACATACCATATTAACCATATAACCATATAACATGCATACTTTTTTGGGCAGCTATAACTCAGCGAGTTTATGGATGTATATGAATACGTTTCAATAATATGTCAAATTTATCAGATTTCAAGTTAAAATTTGGCAAATTTTTGCGATTTAAGGATTTTTTTGTAAACTCTTAAAAATTTGTTTAACATTTTGAAATTTTTGTGGATACATACACATATGATTTTTTTTAATGCTACATTTCGCAGGAAAAGAACACACAGTATTCGAGAAGGTGTAAGGAAAATATTCGTCTTATCTTGAAACGTACAACCACTACAAAATCTTCGAACATTCGAACACAAAATTTTTGCTTGCTTCAAAATTTCCTATAGGGCAACATGCCCTGTATGCGCCTTTGGAAATGAAAATATTTTTGCACTGCAAAGTACTTACTTAAAAACCTATACAAATTGAAGAGCATATATGTATGTACATACATAAATGAATCATATTTTTTCCCCACACATAAAAATATTTTGCAGGTGCTGGCCATTTTGTGATTAAATTGCGGTTCATTGTGGTTATGCGCTTTTTGCAATATTAATTGCTTAATGAATTATTTCTATGTTATTGTAGGGATATTCTTACTTTAATACATAAAAATGTGGCAAATTTTTTAAAAATCATAATTTCATAATAGCGCAGCAATCTGCGGTCTATAGGAGGAGGCAAAGGAGCTTGGTCAAGTGGTGAACGAGGACAAGACAAAGCTGGTATTTGTAATAAACAACTAAATAAAAATATGGTCCTCTATCACAACAAACACTCCCCAAGTTTCTCATCAGGACCGTCCTTTTATATAGCGCCCCAGAGTGTCCAAACGCTAATAGTGTTTGGTCATATTGCAAGGAATGGCTCGGGACTTATTGGAGACAAGGCCCCCGCTGTTCTGGCTAAGCCGCCCGCAATCTTATTCCCGCAATATATTCCTCTTCCTGGAAGTTTCCTTTTCCTAGTGAAGTGATTAAAGGTCAACTGAAGTCCTCAACGTCTGTTTGCTATGAGTAACGGCTGTAGGCGGGTGTCTGCTTTTCAATGGCAATCTTTTTGTACCAGATTCAAATTAAAATTTCTTTAAAATTATTTAGTTTTTCTATGGCAAACCGTAGATCGTTATTCATTCATTCGGGGAAAAATGGAAAGTCGATACTCGAATTTTTTGGATCGATCAGAACTGAAAGATCGAAAAAAAATTTAGTATGAAGGACTGAATTAATCGATTTACAAATGATAACTCTAGTGCAGGGTGACGGCCGTTTAGCTTCTAAGACTTAGTATTAGTTTCCAAAAACTCGAAGTTTAAAAAAACTAAAACCGACTATTGTAGAAAAAAAAATCATTGCAGCTTCAACTGTACATCATTAATATTTATTATTCGTTTTATTTATTTGCTGTGGACATTAAAACATTACAAGTACAATTTCGTGGCTGAAATATCCATTTGCTTACATACTTATACTCACAAATATATTTTATTTGCACAAAGACGTACGTAAGTAGAGTGGCCATAATTCCAAGCGAACTCAACTATTCGCTCTCTTCTCTAACATTCTTATTTATCATTTAACATTTTTGAAATGCTTGTAAAAAGAAGAAAATATATGTAAAATTATAGGAAAACAAAATTAGAAAAATTAAGCTTGGCATTTCTTACACAGTTAAATATGTAAATAAATTATTAAATAGTTGTTAACATCTATGTATATATAAAAATGATTAGCTTTTAGTATTGGTATTTAGCATTTAGCATTTATTACTCGTACATTGGCGGTTAATTTGTTTATTTAGTATTTTCGTTTTATTTTATGTTTACTTTTAATTTAAAATGCACACTTACTATAATAAGGATAGAACTAATTGCTAAAAATATTTTTCAATGTTTATATGTAGATATACATATGTATTTAATTATTTTCTCTTTTCTTCTTATACATATACATATGTATTTATGTATGTATGCTTGCTTTCGTATTCTATAAATTTTAAGTACATAAAGTTAATTTCAATATTTAATACTTTTATTGTGCGGTGTGTTAAACATTATTGCTTTTCGTACATTTGATTGTTGTTACCATCTATGTATGTATGTATGTAGGTGTGTTTGTGTGTATGAAATTGCAAGATATGTACGTATTGGTATTTATTTATTTTAATTTAATTTTATTTAGTTTAGGTAATTTATTGGCGCATTGTTTATTGTTCCAGTTCTATTTGTTATTTCACATATTTACTACTAATACATATAAACAAATTCTTCACAAATGCATGTGCATACATATGCAACAAATCTACATACATATATGCTAAGTTTTCCGGTTTCTATGTTTGTATGTATGTAGGAGCTGTGAGTGATTGGACTAAAAATTACAACAGTATTTGAGTAAATAGTTATGTTATGGCAAATTGTATGGCATGAAATCATGTTGGTTTTCAATAGATAACAGTTGGTCGATTATTTCGATTTTCTGAAAATAAGTACGTAGCTCTTTTATTTTACCATTGATTTATGCATTTCTCGTAATTTTTACGAATGTCGGTTTTGCTTTTAAATTTTCGTTTTTTGACTTGATGACTTTTTGTAAATGCTCTTTTAAGATTTCAGAAAACATTTTAATTTATGTAATTTTTTTGATATTTTTGAAGATTTTGTAGATATCTGCAAAATCGCATTTTACCTTTTTAATAGTACATATAGACGAAGTCTATCTCAATGTCGCTTTTAACTCAACTTTACATTCATCGCATTTACTCATGCGACATAAAGCTTTCACAAGCTTTTTAGCTCAAATTGCAAGCATTTTTGTATGTGTCTGAAAGATTTTTTCTGTGGCTAAAACTCAAACAAGATTTTTTTGACGAAATTTCAAGCATTACATGAAATATTTCATAATTTTGGTCTTATAAATTTTAAGATTAATTTTTAGATTACAAACCCAATATTTTTATTTTTTTTTTCGAACGTTTTGAGAAAATTTTAGCACTGAATTACATATTCTTTTTAATTTGAGTTTGTTAAAAAATTACTATTTTTAGAATTATAGATGGAAATTTAAAGTGCTTTCAAAAGCATCCAAACCAAAGTTAATATTTTTCATGCTAAAATTTTTCGTTTAAGTTGCGTAATGAAACATGTATCTATGTATGCATGCATTTTAAAATTGTTTCGTTCAAAAATAAAGCTACATTGCTTGCGAGAAAATATAATGTGGAATCTTGAAGAGCTTTTAAAAGCTTTCAATAAAAAAAAACGACCACGTTTTTGTTCAATTTTATTGTTTAGTCAAAGAAATGCCGAAACTTTTCTCGAAGTTTTGCTAAAAGCTTGAAAAGCCTTTGAAAGCTTCGAAGAAAGATTTTGGACTGACATGTTTTTATTTCGGTTTGTAAAAAAATTACGATTTTGAGAATAATAGATGAAAACTTAAAGTGCTTTCAAAAGCTTCCAAACCGAAGTTAATTTTTCTTCAAGCTGCAATTTTTCGTTTAAGTTGTTTGATGAGACACGTATGTCTATATTTTAGTTCGGTTTTGTTCAAAAATAAAGCTGCATTGTTTCCGAGAAAATGTAATTTATTGCAGAAGAGCTTTTAAAAGCTTCCAAAAAACTACTATGATTTTGTTAAAATTTATTGTTTATTGAAAGAAATGCCGATACGTTCCTCAAAGTTTTGCTAAAAGCTTGAAGTTTTTGAAAATTTCGAAGAAAGATTTTTGACTGAGATTTCTTGTTAATTTCGGTTTGTTAAAATATTATGACTTTGAGAAGTTTAGACGGAAATTTAAAGAGCTCCAAATCAAAACTAATCTTCCTTCATACATAGAGAAAGCTCTTTACACATGTCTATGAGGTGCCCCATTCCAGGCATACGTGGACTTTTTGTGTGACTTTAAAAGCTCCTTTCTAATATATATTTTTGTGACACAATATTCTCAAAATGGTTATAAAGTGTACTCAGACTGTAAATATGTTGCAGCTGAAATTTTTGTAAAAAAGGGTTTCTCACTTAGCTGGGTTTTGAAACTACCTTCCAGCAAGCAAAAATGAACGTTCGATTTTCGTTTTATTAAAAAGAATACATATTTTAATAAAAATAAAAAGCTAGCCCTAAGCTCTTGCTGTAGAAAGTGTTGTATGTAGGTCTCAAAAGCTTAAAAATAGATCGGAGAAATGAAAGCATTGTTTTCTGTGGGGATTTTTGAAAGCAAAGGTTGTGAATTTTATAATTTATGTTAGTATCAAAGTAATAATTAAGTAAAGAATTGGAAAAATGGCAAAAATTGCCTAAATCCGGTTTGCATCGTGGAGAAGAGCGTCACGTAAGTACATTAGGTCACGGAGATTTTGAAAACATCGAGTTACAATGCTTTTAGGAATGTATGTATGTAGTTACATTATCGAGCTTCTAGAGTTGGACACTTCATAGACATACGTTCCAAGCTTTTTTAAGCTTTCTATATATTTCATAGGTTGGCATACTTGCGGTATATAGGCATGTACTTGTCTAAATCAGAGACGTTTGCCCTTCGCAAGTTTACATAAACTTTAAAGAAAGCTTTAAAAAGCATCCAGAGGGCTATATTTTGGTGATGACTTGTCGAACATCGAATTGAGAGGTTTTATGAAAAAAAAATAAAAGTTATTGCAACGGATTTACAGCGCTGATCGGCAAAGAGTAATTTCATGGTAATTTAGAAGCTCCGTCGGTCACTTCATAGACATGCGTGCGAAGCTTTTTTAAGCTTTCTGAAGGGCTGTTACAGATTAAAAACTTTCTGGCCAATACCGATTTAGTGCCCTTTCAAAGTTTTAAAAGCATAGTTGAGCCTATTAGAGTTGCGAAAATTTATTGATATTTTTTTTTAGTTAGTATTAATATTTCCTTTTTCTTAAAACCGATTTCAGGACACTTTTATATGAATACTTTGGTAAATAAAAAATGCTACTTTTTATGTAAATTCTAACACAAATTTTCATATCAAATAGCTGCATTTGTATATTATTAATAAACATATGCAAGTTTTCATTAAAATTTTACAAAAGTTAGAAAAAGCTCATATAATTAAAAAATTTATGATTCAAGCTTTTAATAAGCTTTTCATTTTTAATTAAAACTAAATCAATGTAAGTAAAAAAAATTTAATTACATTAATACGAATAAATCAGTGCAAAAATTATAAGTAAACAAATATTAAAAAAAACAGCGCGTATTATTGCCACGTATAGTTTTTTTTTTTAGAAACCCCTAACTTAAGTACGCTAAAAATATTAAATTTTTACACAGCGAAAAATGGTCAGTTTCATTCAAAAGCATTTAAATTTACGTATTTATGTTGGTACGTATGTGTGCTTGAATGGATGTGTTAATATATTTTTTTTTTCACTTTAAATGCATTTAAGTAGTTTAGCCTTAAGAATTATACCAAATTATTATTATTTATAATAAATACAAATACATTTAAAATATGGGTATGCGTATGCGTTTGTGTGCATATGTATTTGGAAGTGTGTGGGTTTTAGTTTCCTTCTTTTTTTTTTTTTTACTGACACGTTCGCGCACGTCGCTGAAATCGTTTCATACGTCGATACCATTCATCCTTCCATTCGATCACAATGGAACGCGGCCCGATGCCAAGATAGCCGGGTGGCGATTCCGAATCTTTGCCCAGTATCAGATAGGAGCTAAAAGTGAGTGTAGAAAAATTGTATGTATATAACAGTTGAGAATTGTGGCCAAAAATGTATGCCCATCATTGCTATTAGCTTACCGATTCATTTTGATTCTGGGACAACGACATTCAAGATTCTTAATCGGTATGATCCAGGTCAAAGGTCCCCGTTTTAGGATTGTATTCGTTGTTGCGTATTCGAGTGGGGTACGCTTGAAGATCGCCTGTATTTGTATATCGTATTTGACCGTTTCGGGTGAGGTGGATTCCATGGCTTCCGCTTCGTCGTCGGGATCCATTTGTTGATTTTCTTTGGTGTACTGCTCGCTGCTGCTCGTTACTTCGGTGCTCGCTTCGCGGCCAATCACCTTCGCCATTATTGCTGGTGGGTAGAGATGGAAGGGCGTAGTTGTTTTTTTTTTTTTGATTGAAGCAAAGTAAATTTTTGTTGAAAAAATGAAAAAAAGATATTTTATAGCACTCACCGTAATCTCTTTTGCAGAATTTGTTGAGGTTTAACCTTTTTGTGCTTATTTTGCATCTTTCGCATTCTAAAAGAAAGAAAAAAAAGAATAGTTAATATAATTATTTAGTTTTCTAAAAAATGTGCGATGTTCGCATATTAGTAGAGAAAAATGGAATTCGAAAATATATTTTGTTATTTTTAGTTTTTAATTATATTTCTGTTATATGATTCTATAAAACAAATATGAAAAATAGTGTTTTTGCGCAAAACAATAAGCAGTTTGAACGAACAGTGTTGCTAATATTTTTTTTGAATTTAACACAAATTTTGATCAAAATCTTAAAACAAAAACCTCAAAAATAAATACATGTATGTCATTGTCACCCCGTTCCCATGTAACCTCGCTGATAAAATGCCACAAAAAATTGTGTAAAAAATTTCTGAAATAATTCAATTCAACTCGACCGCCAGCAGAAGACATCAATCAATTGGCAATTGAGACATGTGGAAATGTTGCTGTACTAATTGCAACAATATCGAAACACAAAATGCAGCAAAAGTACGTACATACATACATACATACACACATTTGTGCAAAGTGATGCACACGCAGTGCACTTGTACACCCTGCAACACAAACACAAAAAAAAAAAATAGCCACAGCTGAGGCTAAACTGTAAACAAATGAAAGTAAAAGTAAAACTAAAAGCAAATGGGCTGAAATACAAACAAATTACATTTTAAATTTAAATGCAATTCAATTACCAATGCCAATTAGCTCGACGGCCAGATAGAGTAGCCGCAATGTGCCTGGGGCATACAACTTTCTTAGCTTTAGTAATTTTCTTTTTATGAAGAAATGCTACAAAGTACATATTTCTTAATTTTTTTTTGTTGGCAAAGAGAAAGTGCACAATTTGTGTTTTTTTTTTGTAATTAATTGCTCATGCTAGAATAAGAAGAAAGCAAGAACAATTGAAAGTATGAGCAAATAAATTGTGCTTGGTGTATTTTTTTTTTGTTTGTTGCAGTGGGTGAGACAACGAGGCGGTGGACAATGGCAAGATACAAATGCATGTGTGTAGTGTTGCAATTCTTTAACGGCGACCGCTTTAATTTTTATTGACAGATATATGTACTATTATATAATATTTAACCTCTATATAAACAATTGAACTATTTATTATTATTAGAAGATAAAATGTGATATCTACGTTAGGGTGTTAAAGACTTTTTTTGCGAATTTCGATATGAATATGTTTTTTGGTTCAAATAAGTATATAAACTTGTATGTAAACTGAAGTTAAACTTTGCTAGACCCTTAGGACCGATAGTGGATATAAAATGAAAAACTTCAAAACATGGCAATAGCTGGTTCAACGGTACACATAAACATTATTACCACGGCTAGAGATGGTTTCTCCAAGGTTCGATCCTGGCCAGAGCAATATCCCAAAAGGTTCTTGAGAAAGGTTTTTTCTAAAAAGCGGTCGTCCTCGGCAGACAATGGCAAATCTGCGAGTGTATTTTTGCCTTGAAAAAGCTTCTCATAAAATCCATTTGTCGTTCGGAGGCGGCGTAAAACTGTAGGTCCCTGCGCTTTGTGTGACAACATCAAGGCGCACGCCTCACATCCGTGGGGAAGCTTGGCCAAACACTTAGTGTAAGCACCAAATATTTATTTTATTTCCCCTGGTATATTATTCGATAGGTTAGTTCTTCTTATAAAAGTGAAACGAACCGTGCGTTCTGCAGGGCAAACAACGAACGTTCTGTGCTATTTGGATGATCTCAGGTCTAGCTTGATGACTTAACATAGGGCTAAGGACTGCACCAGAGCCACAGCCTTCTGAACCTATACACAAATTCCGGCATATCGATCGTCGTGTGGCCATCACACCGATCAGAGACTTCGTGAAGATGCAACAGGACATTCCCTGGGTAATATTGATTGCTCCGGGTTCCATCATAGAATCGTTTGGAATGACGCAGGTCGCTAAGAGCCAACGAGTGGTGGAGGAAGCATCAGTAATGGCAGCGCACGGAGTCCGCACTATCAGATAATGTCATAGCAAAAATTCGGAGAAAAATTAAAAGAAGACACTTTTGCAGCAACAAACAGACAAACACATCTTTAATATCTATTTACCCGCAGCTTTAGTCTGTATAGCCACTTTTTTTTTAAAGAATGTGTTCTAATATTTTGATAACGTTATGGCTTTTTACAAAAACCAAGTTACTTTTCCTATATTTTACTGTATTATCTAAAATAGAGGTACACAAAAAAAAGTGATGTTAGCACATGCAAAAAGTGATGTTAGCACATGCAAAAAGTTAGTTTTCGCCTGAAAAACAGGCAGTTAGACCGGAGGTTCCCAAACTTTTTTTCTCGTAGACCACATTCAAAATTTTACCGGCGAACTGAGCCGAAAAAACGGAGTTATATCAAAGATAAATTCAGTTGAAGAGCGCTCTTTCTTTTTTAACCCACAAAAGAGAAGATCAGTATTAATTGGTCTTGAATTGAGTTGCAGTGAGAAGGAAAATGGAAATTCCTTAGTCAGAATTTTTGCCCAAAAAATGCACTACTGAAAAAAAAATTAAATCATGTTTTACAAAAAGGAAATTAAAGGTCAATAAAAAGGCTATCTAGATAAAAAAAATGAAAATTTATTTTTTCGTGCTATCTGTTAGGATTGCATCTCTGAATCTGAACATTTTAATTCTAAAGCTTCTATGTAAATGCTTTTTTAGGGCCCTCAACACGACCACTTTTCAACAGAAATTCGTCTATGGATCTTTCGTATGATCACTTTTTTTAAAGAGTAAGTCCAAAACCACCCCACAGTAAATCTTTCGGACGGAAGGCCATTGTCTACTTTATGCATTTAACTTATTTAACTTTATTGCAAAAACCATATACTATAATTTTAGAATCTACATGGTTAAGACACCATCTTACCAAAATGGGTTTTTCTACAGAGAAGGACGGCAGGTTCTTGGGGCTGGCTGATGAATACCCAAAGTTATTTTTTGATAAAAATATCGTTCATGCTTTAAACAAAACCATATAAATCACACTTCCAAACTTAATACAGAGCTTAGAAAAATTAAAAAAATTTTCATTAAAATTTCAACTTTTTAACGTCAACAAAAACAAAAATATTAAAAGTCAACGCGATTTTTCAGCCTCATAAAACTTGCACTAAAATTTAATGGGCTACCAAAATGCATACTCAAAAAATCGGACTAAAATGTTGAAATTTTCATGAAAATATCTTTCGATTTTCTAAGCTCTGTATAAATTTTGAAATTTTGGTTTATTTAATTTTGGTTATAGCATTAACCATATTTTAATGAAAAGATGATAAAAAATAATAATTAACTATAAAAACCTTGCAAGTATTTAACAAAAATTACAGTGTACTCATTTCTGCTCCCCACTGTTTGCATATATGTATGTACATTAGAGTGGTCCAAACACAGTTAAGTCGGAATTTTAATGCCGCCACCCCCTAGGATTGTTCTATACCGAAAAAATATACCCCTATCACATTTTCTGGGGGTTTTTGGCGGACCTATAAAATATAGTTATCATGAAAAAATGGTTGTTTTTTCAGGAATTCTACACTACTTCTACGAAAAGTAGTTTTTTCCCATACATATAAGATAGATGGATAACTTTGAGCGGTTTGAGCACTTCCTAAATATTTTTTGATTTCATAATAAAATAAATATGGGTATATTTTTTCGGTATAGAAGAATCCTAGGGGGTGGCGGCATTAAAACTCCGACTTTACTTTTTCACATGCATTTTTGGACCACCCTTATGTATGTACATACATATATGATATACATATATCATAAGTCAAAGGCTCTTACTCTGCGGGGAGGGGCTATCGTCTCCGTCTAGATTGAGTGTGACACACTCTATAAATAAACATGGAACTTATTCAAATTAATTGTCAAAATGACCCATTTTATTAGGAGTTAAAAGATTAGTAAAATAAAATAAAAATTCTCACAAAATTCTACAAAATATAGATAACTGAAGACAAAAATTAGCCTTGAATACCATCCTTATTTAAGATTGCTTGCCTAAAAAAATGTGAAAGGTAGAGCAAATCAATATAAGGGGTTTGACTATCACGTTCGGACACGTCACGTTAAATCTAGTGCTAGGCCATAGTTTGTTTGTGGTCCTAAAATGCGTGCCTCACGGTGCAATTCATGTTTTATTTGCGTTAAAATTTTTTATTGTGTTGATATGTCTCTTCTTTCCAATCATGTGGCGCTGACGAACATCTAAATGAGAACTTAATTTAGTATTTAAATCATAGCTGGGCAAAACGCTACTCGCGAGTAGCGTCTGCGTCGCAGCGCTTATACGTATACAGAAACGACGCAGCGAATTTCAATTCAGTCTGCTTTCAGATTTCATGAGAGTAACACTATGCTTCGCCGTTGANATTTGCTCTCCGCAATCACATTTGTTCATAGATATGTAGATAAATATGTACTCGAAAATATGCTCAGATGCATTTGAATGACTCACTGTGCACTTCACTGCACGCTGGCATTTTCCAAAGTTGAATGGCTGCAACGAGACTGGCTGGGCGAGACAATCAACCTGTATCTACGCGTTGATAGCTTGTGTTGACGCGCTAATTTTATAAAATGCCAAGGCATTTAGTGTNTTCGGGCGAGACAATCAACCTGTATCTACGCGTTGATAGCTTGTGTTGACGCGCTAATTTTATAAAATGCCAAGGCATTTAGTGTACGATTACGCGCATGTATGTGCGTGTAAACTTTTGTTTTTGAGGCGGTAAGAACATCAATGTGACGTATCTACTCGTACGTTAAACAGCTAAATATGTATAGCGCGCGTGAAAGGTATGCAACGCCCCCCTGAACTTTGTTGTTTAAGACGAGAGGCGTTTGAAAAGATTTCTGAAGCGCCATACATGAATTTGAGCCAATTTAGGTGCTTTGCATTAAAAAAAAAAAATAAATAATAAAGTGGGCGCAACACACTGAGGCGCGCGCTGCATGGTGTTCTTATTTATGTTCCTTTTTTTGATT